CCACAAAAACTTAGAAATGTAGGATTTTATGCCAAGATGAAGAATTGTGTATTTTAGACAATATTAGAAAAAGCTTTTGGATACATAATTTTAAAGGATAGTTTGTAAATGGATTTTAAGAATGCAAAGACTATTATGAATTAGAAAAATCTAAGAAGTATATGTGATGTTAAATAATTTTTTGAATATGCAAACTACTACAACATATCTAAGGTTTAAACACAACCTTTACTTAAACTCCTATTTTTTAAGCCATTTTTTTATGGAAAAAAATACATCAAATTTTGCATTAGGTGCAATTCTATCACAAATTAAATGTAGATTTTAGACTCTATCTTATTATTTTGCAATGGCGTGGAAGCATTCTACAAACGAAATCACAACAAGCCCCACGAAATGCACAAGATCGACCAGGCGACCCTGTCGCGGCTCGCGGACTTGAATGTCCCATACTTCAAGGCGATAGTACCATCGGTCAATATGTTCGTTAGCGAGATCCATATAGGCGACGAAATTGCAAGCCATCAGCTGAAGCAGTGGCTTGACCCCTGCTGTGTGGATTCTGGCGCTGGCGTGCAGGGCAGTGAATTACACTTTGACCTGTCTTACCAAGAGTATCGACTGCATGGCTCCACAAAACCAGAGTGGGAGGACCGGGAACTTTTTCCCGCCATCGCTCTCTGGCAAGGAGTTAGCAGGAGCGAGTATGATGCAGGATTTGTGGCTCCTACAGCATAAATTGGGGCTCGACTTATAGAGGTGCCCCACCGACTTTCTAAACTTTCCTTCAACCTGGATTAGGTGGGATAACTCTGGGAATTGGCGTGAAGATTAAGAGGATACAAGGTAGTGAACATTACACTGGCCATTCTGCAAAACCATTCTGGTCTTCTACTGGTTGCCTTCGATAAATTTGTATTAAGTTTTGAGACAGACACACCATTCATGTACAGAATTGGAACAGTGATATCATTGAAATTTATGTTCCCCCTGCAATTATAATCGAATGAATTGTAAAACATTTCTGAAAAATTGAGTGAATAAACAGAGATAGGGGTAAAGTTATGGTGTGTTTAGGTTTGTAGTCTCTCTTTGGCTTGCATTTAACATATGTCTATTCTATGCCTAAATTGTGCCTATATTCTTAGTTTACTTTGCCTAGATGCATTTAAAAATGTAGTAATTGTGATATGCACATTTTCATCGGAAACATTAGTGAATGGGATTATGATTATGACATGTTTGTGGGGTTTTATACGAGATGATGAGTGCTTGTTTAAGATCTTTTCTTTTTCATTTTTTCTTTTTTTACATTGCCTAACTTTCTAGGCTTATTTTTATACTTTTTCATTCTAAAGTAACAACTTTTAAGTTGATTCCAAAGGTTCATTTTTTATTGTAGTTTGACAAGGTTATTTAGGTAAACAATAGTTGGATGTGAGGTTAGTAAATGTGTGCTTTTAAAGGATTGTGAAATAATAATTACATGAAAACACAACTTAGTTGATTATGAATTCAAAGCAGCCACAAAAACTTAGATGAAAAGCATGAGTTTGAAGATGTAGGTTACAATTTAATTTAATTTAATTTATTTTTAAATCATCATAATTTCTTTTAAGATCTAATAGTTATCATTTTTATTAAATTTCATGATTGTCTAAACTTCAAACCATTTCCACCAATTTTTAATTCCTCTCAATACTTTGAGGTAATAGGTGATACTTGATTTTAAAGTACCAAATTAATATGACACAATTCTTTGTTAAATTTATATATTGTCACAAATCAACTAGCAACAAAGTATCAAGTAATTCAATTAAATGTTGAACCTTGTTGGGAATGAAAACAAAAATTCTTATTGTAAATGTACTAAATTTGGTTAAATGGTTCAATGCCTGATTGTGATTGTGGAGACAAATTGTGTCTCCTTGAAGTCTATGTTTTACAATTCTCTTAATTCTAAGTAAAATACTAACTCCAAACTGAGATTCTCACAATAGAAGAAATCAATTTTGCAATTGCAATATGTCATTGCTAGTCATTACATATACTATCAAGTGCAAACAATTACAAAACGTAATGAGGTCTTGAAGACTTTAATCATATAGTGGTCTCACTCTTTCATTCGAAATTTGGAAGCACACTTGAATTCAAAATCCAATATAAAAAATAATCAATATTATGTTATATATACATATTAAAGCACTCTCTTTCAATAAAGAAAGACTTGTATTTTTTTTTTAATTTTTAATTTTTTTATTTAATAAAAACACTGCTACATATCTTAAATAAAAATAGGTAATCTATTGAATGTAAAATTTTGAAATAGAAAAAACATTGTAGTCTATAAAAATATAAAATGAGAATTAAATGACTGTGCCAAGACTTACACAGGTTACACGATAATCAAAATTTAGTATCACCTTAATTTCTGCTTTTACTTATATTAACTACAAAATTTAGATAATATTTTTTTTAAGTTGCCAGAAACTTTCTATAAGCTACTCAATAAACTTCTCAATAAGATTCAGTACTCATACATTTATGACTAGTTTATAAAAAAACAAATTTCAAATTTCAAAAAAGAAAAAGAAATCACTTATATGGATTAATAAGAGAGTACAAAATTCTCAAACATTCTAAAAGTAGACATTTGCAAAATTATTTATTATATAAATATAAATTAATATTATCATATTGTATCATGCCAACATAGAAACATAAAGTTATGAGCTGATTCAATTATTATTTTCAATTAACAAAGAAATTTCATTCCTCGAAAATTTCAGAAAATTCTCTGATGTGATTTTGATTTTGAAATTAGAAACAATCATCCGACCTTAAATCCAACTTGAAAACAATATCCCTCATTCAAAAAGAATCATCTAGTAAAAGTGAAAATTTTATACTATCCACTCACAATTAAAAACCATAATACAGACATGAAGTCGGTAACGCAATCGAGACAAGACGAGATCAAGATTTTTCCAAGAGGAGAAGAATCCAGAAATCCTTGAGGATGAATTTGATCGATTACAAGGTCGAAACCAGCAATCCAAGACGTAGATTTTCGTCGATTGCAGGGTTGAATTCAGTCTCGACAGTTAAGGTTGAGCAAGAGCTGCGATGCTGTCCCCTCGGAGCGGATTTTCCATTGGGGATGCGTCACGAAGTCTTCGTGACCGACAGACGTAGTTCTATGACCCAAAGACTAAGCCATTCTGGCGAAACATGTGGGGGGAGGCGAAAGAATATGAGGATCGACCTTCGGGGGTCTGGATCGATCCGTTACCCCGATTTGCTTTCGTCCGCGGTGACATTGATAGTGGTTGAGAAGACAGTTCAATCTGCGCAACAACGACGGTGAGCTTCTCCCCTGATCTGTCAATACTCAATCTGGAATAAACGCGTCACCCGGTGTTGGAACAACAACTAAAGCCCACGATTCAGAGGCTCAGTTGCCGCCTGTAAGATCTTTGCTAGCATGATCTTCAATCATGGTGGAATCGCCGCCTCCGAACACCAACAATCGAAGAAAAGAAAAGAAAAAGAAAAAACATAAAAATAAAAACAAAAAAATCGACAAACTTCGGTGCTGTCCGTCTCAGAAATGGAAAGCAGCCGTGCTGAAGTCGAGTAGACTTGCTAGGCGACTGCAAGTTTGCTGGACTTGCCCTCAATTACTATTTCCAGAACTTATTTGGATAGGATTTCGTTAGATTCAACAACCGAACTGTCTGTTCAAACGCCGGCTCTATCCTCAATTCTCTGAGTTGGGTGGGAAGCCGAAATTCAAGCATGTTTTGGGATATCGAAAACTAGCTAGTGCGTCTGAATGGGCGTGTGAACTTCTGGACTTTTAGACTATGGATTCTGACGCCTTGTGTCCAATTGTATACAGCTCTGAAATATTCGTCACAACACTGGCATGTACTCAGGTCATTATGCCTGAACCGATAATATTCCCTTGATATCACATCGCGTCAAAGTAGCGCAAAATGAAGGTCGTCCTGCCTTTACAGATACCCTTCAAATAATGACAAATGTAGTGATCTCTTACTACACTTTTGTCCTATTGTGAAACCATCCAGAGCCGAAGCGCATCCAACGTAGATTGAGACGTACCGCAGCATAATGCGTGGTTCTCCGAAGACCGAAGCATAATTAAACATCCCATGGTGTGTCATTAGCGAGCTTTATATGTGTTGAATTTGCACTAGCTTTGTAGCAGATTCGTGTAGCACATACCAATAAGCTGTCAAGATGCTCCGAAATCGCTCCACTCTAAGCGCTCCTTTCCCTACAGCCAACTACCAGTATTTGCTCGATATTCCTGACGCTTAATCATTGTAATTCGCAACTACACAAAAAAATTCCTCCCTCCCGCCAGAACGCCAAGTTGGTGGTGGTGTCATACCCCCAGTTCGTTGCTTTACAGCTTCTATTTCTTTTCGCTGATTATTTGGTGTCCTGATCATTATAGGCTTTGCAGGTCTTGTAGTGGAGGACCATTCAAATTTTCCCTGCACCCTCTCAAGCATTGTGGTCCACAATATCCTTGACTGGAGCATTGTTTAGGATAACTCACTCTGGTCTGAAGTAATACTGACTGAAACGGTGCCTGTAATATGACATCGAGATGAAACGATGAAATTGAAGAGTGTCCTCACAGCTTCCTGCATTCCGTGAAAAAAAAACACTACTGAAACGGCAATTGGGAATAACACTCCCACCAACTTGTGGAAAGATACTCTTAACACACAGAAGAATCTCTCTTTCGGTCGTCACCCCCCCACGATCTGCGCGGATGCCTCAGTCGATTACCCACAAGTGAACCAAAAGGCTAGAAAACAGAGACTTGCTTTGTCGTGTAAGATCTAGAAATCACGCTGACGCATCGAAAGAAAAAAACAGAAAAATAAAACTAAAGAGAAGAAAAAAACATATGCGTAGAAAACGATGCGTCCGGTGTGGAAGTTGTTCTGATGTCTTTCTCATTTATTTACTTATTTTGTTTTGTTTTGTTTTGTCCTCTCTCTCCAGGGCACGGCGTCCATGTCCAAGTCCGAATCGCATCCACTCGATAGGATATGTCGACCCAAAGCACAAACAGTACTCGGATGTTCACTTCACAAACAGTAAGACTTCCACTGGCTTTTACAGTAACTCTATAAACGATTAGAATCAACCCATGTATACTCCTCTTTGCTTTACTTCCAGAGTTCTTAAAATCAACATATAATCCATTCGCACACCCTCATCCTGGTCCCTTTGCGTTGTTTGTGTGTTTCCAGGCGAAAGTACAGATTATTCCGTTCCCTTTGCATTGTTTGTGCGTTTCTAGGCGAAAGTGCAGATCAGTCTACGTGAAGCTTGTTACAATGAAGACGAGATGCATACGTGGGTTGTTTGTGATCCTCTTTCTGGTGTCGGCGTTTGTTTCTGCTGATGCTCGATCGCACTATCACTACAGTTTGCGGAGCCAAAGCTCCGATGAATCGTCGGACCCGCTTGCTGCGTCGAAGTTGAATGTTTATGCGACGCAGCAATTCCCTGGATAATTGACGAGACCCCATTTTCCTGAAGGATTTATCTTCGGACCAGCAGGGTCTGCATATCAGGCACCATGCGTTTGCATATCTAGATTTGTTTTATATGTAGTTTTAGGGCTTTGTGATCGAATGTTTTTCAATGTGGATATTTCTGGTTCAGATTGGTGTGCATGTTTTAATTAATATTAGTGTTTTAAAAAATTAAAGAACTACTTGAAAAGGAGGAAATTGTGACATCCTTTTATACAATTGTTTAGGTGGAATTAATATATTTTTAGTAATATAATGACAATATAGAAGTATACGTGCGATTTTTCAATGTATGATTTTGTGATTGTTTGTAGCTCGAAGGTGCCGCTTTTCATGGAAGTAAAAATAGAAGTATTTGGAATGAATTTGTAACTCGAATTTGTATAGTTTCTTCTCTAATTTTTAATTTTTAATATTTTTGATATTTCTTCATTAATTTTAAAATTTAAATTTAAAAATAAAATAAATATCTTTTTGATATACTATTTTTAAAACTTATAATAATATATATTTTATTTTTTGATTTTAAATTATAGCTATTAAAGGCTTTGTGGCATAGGAACAATTATTGATAATTCAATGGAAAATATTATCATCAATCACTATCATCGTTATCTAATGTGTCAAAACTATAACAAGTTTAAGAATTATTATACCTTCATTATAAAATAAAGGAGTTAATTTTTACCACAAAATGTTTGATGCTTTATTAGAAGTAGATTAAAATTTTGCTCCATAATTAGTTTTTTGTTTGAAATTTTTGGTTTGTTTTAAAATTATGATAATTTAATAAAACTAAAAATGATATGTTTTAATACTTTTTTTTTTTTTTTTTTTTACTATTTAATTTTTAAATTTTTTAATCTTAATTATTTTCCAAAGTTTGATACAATTATACAAAAAGAAACTCTTTTATAGAACCTTTGATAATAGGACATAATGCATTAAATAGACGTGCTCATATTGTTTATATTTATAAAAAAGAATTTCAAGTGAGTTTTTTTTACCTATCTTTTATTTATTATTTGTTAATTTTTTCTTATAAAATAAATAATTAACTTCTACGTACATACATATTTTGTAAAACCATCAAAACTAAACTATTGGAATTAAATATGATTGCATGTGGTATTTTTTTCTTACAAATTCCAAAGAAAATAAAGAAGCAGTTCAATAAGGACTTGAATTCTATCTTAGATAGTAAGAATATATTTTATAAAAAAAATTATGTTTTTATAATTTTATTATGTTATATTATTAAGTAATTCTTATATTTGAAAAAATATTTTTATTTAATATTAAATTAAATATTTTTATATATAAATATTTAATATTATTATTAAAATTTAATAAGTCTATGGATTCTATTATATTTGGAGTCTATCCACTTTCAATGCATAAATATTTAGGAGCTCAAGTATACAAATTCACAAAAAAAGATCAAAAGATCATATGATTGGATTGGGTTTAATCATTATTCAATCCAATATGCACATCACACCAATCAAACAATTGATAATGATAGTGGAGTGGGTTTATACATATGTTACCTTTAATTCTTTGTTATATATATATATATATATAATTTATTTATTAAAAAAAATCTACAATACAACTAAATAATTTCTCTATACACAAGTATTACAAAATTTTATTATTCATTTTATTTTATTTTATTTCTTCTCATAGCTTTTTGCAATAGAACAATTATCACTCCAAAAGTAAGTAAACACTTATTATCTTAATTGTTTTTTTTGTCTATATATATATATATATATATATATATATTTTTTTTTTTTAAATTTCAATATTATAATATTTTTCATTTACAACGTTATACATTCCATTGTTAAACTATTTACTATTTACAAAAGAATAAGCATGTCTTTGCATGTGTAGGCTGTATCACCATGGTTATGAATTTATCCATCAAGCATTTGCATCTTCCTAAACTGGATTCACCACTACTACAGCAATCCTCCCATCTACATTACTAAAAGTGGTATAGTCCATCATATTGTCATTGCATTTAATTCTCATATTGCATTGCATGATTCATTCTATTACATGACTTGTTCTATTCCTAAAGCTATTATTATTATCTTCTTCTATAATTTGTGTGTGATCTTTCACAATCTCATTTGCTAGTAATATCTCCTTGTATGATATGTGAATGTGTGTATGTATGTATGTATGATGTTTTATGATTTCATGTGAATATTGCCAGGCATTGAAAAATTTAACACAACAAAGACATTGCCAATTGTGCAACAATTGAACAATACCACTCACATCAACTACTACCATGACTATCTCCAAAATATTTTGCTGGCTATCAAATAAGTTTTATATAAATAATGTATTATTATGATTACTTAATTTTCTTGGTTTATTAATTGATTAATTAAATTGATAGAATTTGGAATTATTAATACTCAATATTAATCATTTTGGTTTTGTTTCATACCAATGCCTTGTTTCAAAGATGGTTGCAACATCCAATCATACTTTGCTTGGTTATTTCTAGACAACTTCAAGTGATTATTGGATATATTTTCCATTTTTGGCTTTGTAAAATATGCCATAAAGGTTGTTGTATTGCTATTTGTTAGACTTTGCATACAATGACTATTCTTATAAGCACTTTTTGGTGAAATAAAAACGTGTATTTTCTTATGTATTTTAATGCATGAAATGCAATCAAATAATATCTTACTTAATTAAGCACTCTTTTGCTTCTATCTATAATATGATGTAGTTGTAAAGACTATCCAAGACAAAAATCAAGTCCTCTTCTGAACATGTTGATATACTACTTATAATAGATGGTTCACTTATTAGTAGGATGAGTCAATGACATTATCCAAAGCTACCAGCAAGTGTTACAGTCATTCTTTCATCTTTAAAAAGCTAGAAGTAGTCCCTCATATGCTGAATTGTGTAGCTTTTGACAAAACTAAATGCACATTAGAGAAAAAAAATTCTTATGGAAGTTGCACAAAATCATCTCAAATTTGTGTTCTAGCTTTTGATTTATTGAAGCTTGTTGAATGCATGATGTGTGAGATGCATCCAAATAAAATCTATGTCTAGATGCTGGTGAGCTCAATTGGCCTCTTTATTCATGGTAGATTTCAATAAAGTCTAAGTGAATCTCTATTTCTCTTGTAACACTTTGATTCCGGTTTAATAAAGCAAGATCTTTTATGTGAATTCTACGTACAATGTGGGATCTTTGTTAGTGATCCTTACTTTATTTTATAATAAAATGTAAGATATAAAATATAAGATTATTGATTGTGATGGATAGGTTTTTAAGCTACAACTTTGGGATGTGAATTTCCTCATGGAGTAAGATTGACAAGCTTGCATTCAATTTCCTATGCATGCTAGATATGCATAATGCTCACTTTAAAGCATGACTTAGATTAAATAGACTTATAATCTTCTAAGAAACAAACTTGCAACTGAATCATACAACAATTATGCAACCATTGAAAAGAAGTTTTGGACCTCAATCTCAACTCAGATTGTGTTGCATATTGAGCCTATTGATGAAGATTGAATTCACATTAAATTTTGGTTGAAGTGGTTCATATAAAGCTTGTAATATCTCTCTTTTTTACAACCTTTGTATCATTAACTTGTTGAAATTTTTTCAATTCAAAGGCACTTCAATTGATTCTAATGTAAGATTAAGGAACTATTATTGTCTTCAAAATTGAATTGTTGATCCTTGAACTTAAATTGAATTCTAGTAGAATCTTGTGGGTATACAATATAGATTCTTTAGAATCTTGAATGTATATGAATGCAAATTGGAAGGATTTAATGTGGAACTATTATATTTTAGCAATCTACATCAAAGGAAGGATTCAACAACTTTCTTCCATATTTATTTATTTATTTTAAAAATAGTTTAGAACATTGATAGCTAGTCCAAAGATGTTGGGTGCACAAGTATAAAAATAATGCTTGAGAAGGATGTAATAAAGACAAGAGATGATTATTATATCATGTGGTCATTGATAGACATGTATTTAGAACAACATCTGATAGAATGTTCTAGTATTAAACTTTAAATATTTTTTTGGATGCAAAATAGTAATTTTTATGTCAATTAAGTTGTAAGCACTAATATTTTTAAGAAGTAGGTACATAAATTTTTCTAAATATTTTTTTAATATTTTAAAAGTAATCCATATTTATAATTACCTCAACGATTATTTTATTATCTATGACAACAATAATAACATTTTACCTTGAACTTGGTACTTGGTACTTGATGCTATCTATATCCTCTCTCTCTCTTCATTCTCTTGTAACTATTGACCTTTGTAGTTACTTCTATTAGTTAGTATATATATTTTTAATTTAATTTATTTTCATCTAAACTTAAAGATATATAATTTTTATATAGATTAAATATATTTAATTTTCTTACTATTGTTTAGATTCTATAAGTTTGGATTTTACATGGATTGAGTATCTTTGAGCTATTTTTTACTATTTAAATTCTATTGGTTTAAATCTCCTTATCAAATTGGTTCTTCTAAATTTTCTTTACTTTATCAAGCCAATTAATATTCATCTATTAAAATATCAAACCTTAACTAGCACAATTTTATATGTTATTATAAATATTGAAGTATGTTGAAAAAAGTACATGCACTCTTATTATAATAGGATTTTATATTAATGTGAAGTATGTTTAATTATTTTTTATTATAATTAATAATTTATTATATCTATAGAAAGTTTTTTTTTTCTTAAATTTTATTCATTCTTATTATTTTTTAGCATTAAAATATCAATATTTGACTCTCTTTAAGATCATTCATAAATTAAATTTTATAATATATCATTTTTTATATTTAAAATATAAATCTTTGGTACTATTAGAATACATCAATTTCTTTGGATTGATAGTGTAGATTTTTTTTTTTATATATATATTTTTTATTATTTAGATTTTATTTTAGTACAAAAAAACCTAATAGAATTTATTTTTTACTCTCAAATAATATTATACTTATTCTTTGATTTAATTCTACTAAAATATTATTAAGACTTATTTTTTTAATTTAAGCATACATATATGTATATAGAGCTATTTTTGCTCTTTATTCCAATTGGCCTCATTTAATTGCTACTCATTATTTAAATCTAAAACTTCATTGCAATTGTTTAATAAAATTTCATATTAAAATTCAAAAAAAAATCTTTAACTTGTTTAGGCTCCAAGTCCTATCTATTCCAAATTCTTATAAAC